ATTTAGCTTTAACTTTTCACCTGTTAAAAAATCTTTGTAGTAACCTGAATAGATCCTGGAGCGCTCACAGCTTGAAGGAAGTGTTTGGAGGATGCTCTGGGGAGTTGAACGGGCTCGAATGCCAGCTCTGCCCACAGCCTCTCTGCAAATCACCCTGTTAATAAAGAGCCTATTTTAGCTCTGGAAACATGGAGCCTTCTCAGGCTATTACCCAGCATGTGGTAAATTAAACAATCTTGGCCTGATTGCATAAAGTCACTTGAAATTTAAGATCCTTTTTCTCTTTAGCCCCTAAAATTTACAGGCCAGTTTTGTTTCAAATTATTGTAATTACATAATGATTCTGCTCCTTTGAGGCTCTTCTGGGAAGTTTTTTAGCACTCTTTCGGTGGCTAATCTCCAAATTACCGGGGGCAGGAGCACTGCTTGGTCTCCCTGTGGGTTTGTCTCAGTGCAAGGGGTGCAGGGGTACCACAGAATTTGGTAGTAAAAAGTAAAAGAAAATGGTTTGGAACTGGGGGTGTAGCAGGGGCCAGGCAAGAGAATTGCTGCTGTGTGAGGGCAAATATTCCTCAGGCCCACTAAGCCATAGCTCTACTGTCTTTTAGGAAGATGGGTTGAAAAATCACTGCTTGTAGCTAGGAGGATTTCAAGTCCAGAGGTACCTAGGTCCATACTGAAATCCTTTCTTCCTCTGGACTATATTTAAACAGGTTCTTAACTTTCATCATGAGTTTATATACAATTTAAAGAAGGGATCTAATTTCTTTCAAAGAAATGACATGGGTTTTTTTTTTTAATTTTCTTTTTTTTTTTTTTTTTTTTTTGCATGGAAGCAAAGTGATTCCTTAGAGTGCACATAGAAAACATGCCCTTGGTCAGCACAGGTAACAGGCACACAAATTCTTCATCTGTGGTTCTTGCTGTTTAATGAACTGTGTGGTGTTAATTTAGCAAGATCTACCAGTCCCCATCTTTTAACACTGGCAGTGGATTTTAGGAAGCCATGAGACCTCTCAGGACATTCCTTTGGCACAATATAATGATTCATAGAACTGAGAGATTGTGTGTCATATACTGTAAATTAGCCAGAACATTTGCCTGCCAATGTGAGGAGGAACTGCACAATATTTTTCCAGCCTGGTTTTCAGTGTTTGCTGTGCCAAGCATTCCTTGTATCTTTGGAAAGAGGCTTCTATAGCCCAGCTCCTGTTAGGGTTCTACTGGGAGGTCATGCTCATCCTTTCATCTGACAGTTTTTTCACAGCCAGCTCACTAACCCTGAGCACATGCTGTTCTGATTTATTGGTGATTTCTGCTACCCACTATTCCCCTTGCCTCCTTCCTGCATTGTCAACATGTGACCTGAAAGGGAAAGTTTGGGAGACAGGATTCTTAAGAAAAATCACACTTTTTCATTGTACAGTACTATCTGCCCTTAATCTTGGAATTGTCTGCTATTGCTCTGCAGGGAGTCTTGGCTAATTAAAGTTCAGACAATGCTGCCTCAACCTCTGTCCCTGATGCTGTGCTGTTTATTCACGTCAGGTATTCATAAGATGGTTGACATTTTCTTCCTTAAAGATCTCTCAGGTAAATTACAGGCATTTTACTGCTCTGACCTTTTCCTTTACAGGAAGAACTTTTGTTTTCAACATTTATTTTGTGAATACAATGTCAGAGCGGATGTAATTGGAGAGGTGTAGTTGTTCTAGTCTGTATAGTTGGTCTATTACATGTAATGATTGTCTAATACTGGTATTTATATGTGATTATCTCTTACCAAACTGCTTTAAATTTAAAGAAAAAGCAAGTCTGTTTCACTGATTGGTTTGGGTGAATCACCTTTTTCTTTATTTCCCCTGAATACTACATTTGCTCTCCTAACACATTCATTTTGTGCCTGAATCTCAGGGAGATGGTTTGCTCTATTAATATATTTCTGGAGTTCTCCTCTTACGGGTAGACTTTTATGGCTTTAATGTAGTTTTTGAAAATTCCTCTATTATTGATCTAGATATTATCCCAGCAGGAATCAAACCCACAAGACAATTGTGTGAGGATAATTTCTTACTACAGAAGCATTTTATTCTGAAAGCCTGCTGTGTGGTGTGTGCTTTGATGGATGACCCACTGTTTAAATGTGTATTAGACATCGGCTTGCTAATTAAATGCCTTAAGGAGTGCCTGTATCCATTCAGTCTCAGTAAATGCGTGGAATTTCTGTTATTTTATTTCTTGCTTATGCTCTTATGTTGAGTTCTTTCTGTTTTCTGACCTTGTAGAGAAGAAGGGAAGTAATGGCAAAAAAAATTGCTTTCTACCCTCACTCAAGACTTTTTGCTCAGGGCAGAGGTGAGACAATGAGGGCTCTCAGGTTAGAACTGGGTCTGCCAGATGGGAGGAAGAGGAGACGAGATGGGTTCTGCATTTCAGAAGGGAGGGAGAAGAGCACTCACCTGGAATTTGAGAGAGATGAATTTGGATCCCTCTTTGCTCCTGAAGGACCATTTCCAATGAGGAAGAGAACCATAATTATGAAGCTATGAGGTGCTCTCAGACTTGTTGGTTGAAGTGCCTGTGCTTGAAGCATTTTACTGGGAGGGAGAGTGGAGATTGTTCATAGTTGAAGAGAGGGGATAAAGTTATTCTCCTAATTTCTGAGTTCTTAAATTGAAAGAGCTGCCAAGGACAGGAACAAGGACTTCTGTTCACCTGCAGGAAATGTCTCCTGAGTGTAATCCCCATTCCTCTTGTTGAAAATTTGTGTGTGTGTGGAGCAGGTAAGATTCAGAAACAGTGTATTTGCTGCTAAGGCCAAACATAAAATTTCTTCTACTCAGAAAGATTTGGGCTTTTTGTTCTAAGACAGAGGGATGTATAGAGAATCATAGAAAGGCTCAGGATAGAAGGGACTTTTGAAATTTATCTACTCCAATCCACCCACCTTGATCAAGCTATTCAGAGCCCCATCCAGCCCGGCCTTGAACATATCCAAGGCTGGGGTACCCACAGCTTCTCTGATCAGCCTGTGCCAGTGGTCTCACCACCTCACAGTAAAGAATTTCTGCCTTGTATCCAATCTAAATTCACCTGTTTCAGTTCAAAACACCCTTGTCCTGTCACTACAGGTCTTGACAAAAAGTGTCTCTTGGTCTTTCTTGTAATCCTTCTACAAGTACTGAAATCAGCAATAAGGTCTTCCTGACACCTTCTGTTCTCCAGGATGAACAGCCCCAAGTCTCTCAGCCTGTCTTCATGCAAAAAATGTTTCAGCCCTGAGACAATTTTTTTTTGTTTTGGACCTGTTCTAACAGGTCCATGCCTTTCCTGCATAAGTCAGTTCCCTCAAGATCCTGGAATGCATCTCATCAGGTGCCACGGATTTGTGGATGTCCAAGTCCTTCAGAGGGACTCATCTTCTAAGATGGGTGGGACTTCATTCCTCTACTCCCTGCCGGGAGATTCATGGGCTTGAGAAATGTGAGACAAGCAGTTGACAGTGAAAACTGACAGAAAAAGTTGTTGGGTACCTCAACCTCCTCCATGCCAGTTGCCACCAGATTCTCGATCTCATTTATCAGACAGGGAATAAAAACATTGATTCATTTAAAAAAAGCAAACTAATGGTTTTCCATTAAACACAGTAATTAATACTATCTTTTAAAATTTGAATTTGAGACCAAATCTGAAAAAAATGATTGTTCTTTAGTAGTGATCTTTGTAGGAACATAGACGTAGCTCTTCTTGAGCAGGGGAGTGGACAAGATGATCTCCAGAAGCCCCTTCCAACCTCACCTCCTTCTGTGAAACCTTTAGACCCAAAGTAGCTCTGTTTGGAGAGGAAATTGTTATGTTTTCATTGCTGCCATCACCTGTCTGGAAGCACAACTCATTCGTTCACTGTGACTGCTTTTTGCTTATTTGAAAGAAATGGAAGCAAAATTTGTCTTTCTGTGTTCCTGAAGCAAGCAAGACTCATCATGAGATGCATTAGGAGGAGGAATGTCCCTGTTTTTCTTCTGAAAGTGCTTCCAGAACACATCCAAGGCTAAATCATGGTGTTATTTTCATCTGTGTCCCTGGACATGTAATTATCTGTGCTGCTCCATCCAGAGAGCTCTCACTGGTGCTTTCAAGTAGAGAAAAGTGCCTTGTGTTTATAATAGAGTTTTCAGTGATGTAGAAAAGGAATCTGTGGTGAAGAGAGGGTTATTTTATTCTCATTAATGAAGCTTACTCTAGCTCATGGACTGTGTGTGTGTATAGGACAAGATGAATTAAAACTAATAAAAGCAGTTAGGAAATTGGGTAACACATCTCCTCTTAGCTGTTCTTGGGAGGAAAATTCAACTCAAGCATGGGATTTAGAGATTCCTAGCTGGTTTTTGGAGCTGGTCATGCTCACCTAAGCTCTCAGGGATGGGTGAGAGGGTAATGCTGGCCCTCTGTTATGTCTGTGAAGATGCCTTCCTCACCAGAATCATGCTCTTGAGGACAATGCTAACTCCTGTCATCTTCTCCTCCTTCTGCACAGGAGGAAATAATGATATCTGTTCATCAGGCCTCTGCTGTGCTTTTCTGTAGTTTGATTTGTGTTTTCATAGAAGAGATTGCTTTGGGAATGTACTTGAATATCCCAAACACTCCACTTGCATTTTGTGGATAATTTCTTCAAGAAGAGGCATTGGGTTTCTCAGTTCAGTATGGGGTGAGGAACAGCCATGTCCCCTCCATCAAATGCTGATTTAAACAGGATTGGTTTCTTTATAGTTTCAGTGCTGCAGGAAACAGAAACTATCTATTGTAAGCACTGGGGATTAGGGAAAAGTTAAAAAGAAAAATAAAAGAAAGGAGAGAAAGCACATTTTGGAAGGGGGAGGAAGTTGTTATAATCCCTCTGAAATGATTTTCTAATGTTCTAATTATGTTCTAATTATTATCTAATTATTAGATTGTGTTCTAATCCCAGAAATTATTTTCTTTCTGAAAATTGTTAGATCTGGATGGACTAAGTCAACTGAGTTACCAAGACAACCTCTCCTGTCGTGAAGATGACCATGTATCTGTGGATTCAAGAACAACAACCAGGAGCAGGGGCACTGGGCAGCACAAAGGGCCCAGGGTGGAGCCCAGAATTGGGGATGGTGTCAGCCAGTCACACAGGGAAGGATGTCTGGAAATGGAAACAGCATTTGTCAACCAGGGATTGGAAGTAAACGATGCTACTGACAGCTCATCGGCTTGGAGCCCTGAGGTACGGTGGATTGTCATTTATTACACACAGTGGAAGCTTTTGAAGGATATTGGGGGCCAAAAAAGGTTACAGGAGAAATGAAGTGAAAAATTGATCAGCACAGCACAAGATAATGGTACTCCTGTGTGCTTGTGTGCATGACCACACACCTCTTCTTTGTGTTTCCCCTTTTTTCTGGTATTTACCTCTTGCTACTAACACTAATTCGCAGAAAGGCTGTCATTGCTTGGTTTCTGACTGCAGTCTCTGGACTGAAATTGGAACTTTAGCTGCCCAGCAGCATTTACTGACATTTAGCAAGGAGCTCTCTGTGGTGGCCCAGGGCTTGGTCACTGCTGTATTTGCAGGGTTTGTGTCCCAGGACAGGGTCTGTGGTCACTGGGTCAGATCTGTGTCCCTTTTCCAGGTAGTTTCTATGAATTAGATGATGGAAATAATCAGAAAAGCTGGAGGCAGCTGGTGGGGGTGGCCTGTGACCTGCCCAAGTGACCATAACCTTGTCCCCATTGAAACCAGGCCAACTTTTAGGGAAGGAGAGAACCTGAGTCTGCTTTCCCTTAGTTCTGCACTTTTATTTTGAATCCTCAAGGAAACATTTCGGATTTTAAGGCATTATAAACACTTGATGACTTTGCATCCCCCTTTTCTCTCCTAATCTCTCTGCATGATGTGTTGATTTTCATTATTTTACCGCAGGATTAACTTTATGGAAAAGTATCAGCTTACATCAGACATATTGAAAGAACAGCACAAAGGTCATATCTTCTGCCTGAGTTAAAGGACAGCTGTGAAAACCCATACCTGCATCAGACTGAGCAGCAAGGCTTTGAGGGAAGGTCCCTATCCCTGGAGCAGGCTGCCTGCAGCCAGTTCAAGGCTGGAAGGCAGCTCCTTGGTGCAGATGCTCCAGCCCTAGGGGGTGTTTGGAGCAGCATTCTGGATTTTTGCACAATCCAATCCTACAAAACACTACACACCACATGGGAGCTGCGTGTGGCAGCAGCCCTGCCCTCTCTTTGCTGGGTTTCTGACACACACAGTTTGTCTGCCCATTTCTCCTTTTCCAAGTCTGATGTGCTTTGCCACGGTTCATGTGTGCTGCAGTGTCTCCAGTGTCCCTTTGTATTTCTTTGGAACGCATGGCTCATTTTACTCTTGGTGTCTACATTTTAAAAATGCAAGGAAGGGTTCCAGCATACTGGAGCAGAAATGCCCACGACACAGTTTATCTCCTACAAGCAGCTTCTCATTCAAAGGTATTGTGTGGATTAATGAAAGACTTTTTATTGCAGGAACTAAATGTTCTGACATGCCAGAAATGTCCAAGTGTTATTATGCTCCACTCAAAGGACCTCTCTTTAGAGACAGAAATGGTAATTTTATGCCCCTGCAGTGGAACCACAAGTACCATTTCAAGCCTTGTCCATAATTAGCTGCTCTTTCAGGTTTCTCTGGTAAAAATGGACTTATTTTGCTTAGTGAAGTGGATGTTGGCTGTCCTGAATGACCAGGTTAGACATGCAGTATCAAGCAGCACACTTGGCTTGGCCTCTCAACAACTGGGCTGGGAAGAGATAAAGAAAGAAAGAAATTTGGAGGAAGTACCTAAAACCCCAATATTACCTTGGATTCAAATTCAAGTGCCTGTATAACCAACACATTCACAAACCACTTGTAGCCTAGCTGGGCTCCAAAAGCAGAGGGAAATTCTGTCAATGACTTCCACAGAAGGAGGATCTGTAGGTGTGCAGCAAACCTGCATGGGGGTAAGCCCTGAAAAACACAATGCCACCAGAAAGGGCCGGTTTGTGAGGTATCCAAAGCTTGGTTTTCCATGGAAAGCTTACTGCCAAGGAGTTTGACATTTTTCTTTCCCTCCAGATCATGTAGGCATCTCTGCAGTGGATCTGGCCACAGCCCTAGCAGCACAATTTGAGCTTTCCTGAAATCCAAATATTTTCTAGCTGTTCAGTCAAAATGCAGATATCTGACCTTCAGTCTGCCTTACACGCTGCCAGAAGGTGATGATATCAGCCCTGCTGGGGCAGGAAAGTGTCTCTTGGATTTTCATTCCTGAGGGTTTGTGCTGATGCACTGGATCTCACATTTTCCAGCTCAGACATGTAGATGAAAGCCAAGTTTTGCTTCAAGCACTGTTGTCTCCAGACCTTAGCAGCAGTCCTTCAATGTGCCTTGATTCCATCTCCTCAACAGCAAATGCACAGATAAAAGTGTGGGGGGAAATATGAGTCAAGCACAATCCCATCCCGTATTGAATATTATTTCATCAACCAGACAGAAATAACTTGACTGCAACACAGGAGCACTTAACATTTTCATAACACCATGCTCTCTCCAGGCAACCTGGCTTGCCTTACATATTTGTTTTTAGCAGTCTGCTGTTCATACAGAAAGGTGTTTCTGTAACCAAGCAAGTAATTTTGTGTGTTGTTCTCCCTTTGACATTACTTCTTGCAAGACATGCAACAGCGGGTCTCTAATCTGCACGCTCGGACTTTTGTGTTCATGTGCACACCTCTGAAAATGTGAAAATCTGGAGCTTTGCATGTCATGGCAGATGAATCTGGGCACTTCAAAAGTAGATTGACAGGAAGTAAACAAAAATTTTGATGTATATCCGAGGCCCTGTTTGAGACACCCAGGCACTTCTGAAGGGACTTAACACCTGACGTCCTGTGGCCCATCATCTGTTCTCTGAGCAAAAAGACTCCTGTGCTGGAAAGAAGTGTTACTTGAAATGTGAAAAGAAGATAAATGTTTGAGGAGGAGGGTGACTCAGATGCTGGTGACAGGCCTTAATTCACCTTCTGGCTATTAACTGAAAATCTTTCCCTAGTACAGTGTATACTCATGTTTAAATACAAATCATTGATCACTATAGCAACCCCTTTATAAGATGAAGCACATTCTAGCTCTAAGATAAAAAAGCACTGTTGAACAGAAACCCACACACCCACTCAGCAAAAGGTAAGGTGAGCATCCATGGTTTCATCTTGTTTTATCATGATGGTTTTTGTTTTAAAAGTAGGCAAAAGATTGTGTGTGAATTGGTCTGCACATGTTGTGATTGTTTATTTTGAATTTTTATTCTGAATGTATTAGTACCCAATGTGAACAGAAGGAACAGATGCTTCTCTTGGGAGATTTTAGACGGGTATAAAGAATCAATATGTATTTAATCAGACTGCTTTTCCCCATTATCATTGCTTTAGCCATAGGAAAAGTATTGAATTATGGGTTAGCATCTAGAAATGGAATTTCTATTCCACAAGAAATTCTTACATGATGATTTCCTCCTCATATTATATATAGAGCCTAATTTTTTTTTTAATTTCTAGCAGAACAAAATATCAAAAAAGTTAGCAGGTTTGGCTGAATTGTTTGATTTTAATAATGTAAAAAAATTCCACCTTGAGAAACAATTCCAGTGTATGTTCGAAGTAACAGGTTAAGTAGGTCAAATTGTTTTGCTAGTGCCTCATATTGACAAAAATGAAATGTAAAAATCCCTTTGTTTAGTTTTTCTCTGTGTAGAATATTTGCCAAGTTAACCATCTCCTGCAAAACACTTAAATATTGATGAAACTTTTTATTGGAGATGTTTCAACAAGTGCTGTTGCTTACTAGAGCGTATGGGGACTATTACACAAATCACAATCAGGCAATTAACTATCACTGGCCTTTCCAGAAACAGTGGGATCCATATTTCACACAGCAACTGCCTATACTTGCAGGCACAAGTGAAGAGAACAATTTCTTTTTAAATGGAGTTGGAATCATCGAGGCAGCTGAACTCCAGTGGAGGTTTTACTTCTTCCTTCTCTTCGCAGGAACACAATGAAGTGAACAGTGTGCCAGCTCATCATTGTGCCCACGAGCCCATCTGCAAATGTGGTGACCTGGATGTCATCTTCACCTATAAACCCTCAAGCCAAAAGCTGATAGCCACTGTCCTGGCGGCCAGGGACATCCCAGACAAGGACCGCAGTGGTGTCAACACCTGGCAGGTGCACGCGGTTCTGATGCCAGGCAAGAAGCAGAGGGGTAAGACGAGTGTGCAGAGAGGACCCATCCCCATCTTCCAGGACAAAATCACCTTCAGCAAGCTGGAACCACAGGAGCTGAGCAGCCACGCCGTTCGCTTCCGCCTCTACGCCGTGCACAAGGTGGTAGGGGAGAAGATGATGGGAGAGCAGTTGTTCTACCTGAGGGGCATCAGCCAGGAAGGGGAAGTGAAGGTGACACTGCTCTTGGAGCCACGGAGTAACCTGAGTGTAAGTTTGATGAAGGACAGATGAAGTCCACAAAATGGTTTGGGTTTTGGTGAATATGGCGTTCCTGAAGTCTTTCATTGATTCAGGGCTGTCAGGGTGTGACTGGCAGATCTGACCTGCTGTCACTTAAGAGGTTATCAGGAAGGAGAAGCTCGGGGCATTTCTTCCTTGTGCAAAGCTGTGTTTTATTAACAGCTCAGCTAGCAAGCTTACACAAAATCGTGTGGCTCTACTACATCTGCACAACTCACCACATGCTGTGCCATTCAGACACAGTAGGTTGGTCTGGGAACCACCAAGGCATAATTAGTCTTAATTCCAGTAAGGGCAGTGGTTCTTGTGCACCACTTGTGCAGAAACTATCTAATTTGGCCCTAGATACCAGCTTGTGTATCTCCATTGTGCAATTTCCATCTTGCCAGAAATGCTTAGTAATGTTCTTCTACATGACAGATGGAAGTGGAGAGCTGGGTCATGTGAAGAGGAACTGGCTGTGCTGCTTCTTAATTTTCCATGCACATCACAGTTGTATCCAGCTCTGGCTATGCCAATCAATTTGTGTAGATGAGCTCTGTCATGATTCATTGTCTACAAAAGCTCAGAGAGAGGTTGTGCACGTGAAATGAATAAAACATCCTGCTTCAGGTGAAGTGGAGAATAATGAAAGCATTGTGGTAGCAAGGAAAGAAAGTAAGAAAATGCACAGTTCATGGCCAAAAACTGCCAAACAGAAAAGTGTATTCCATCCAAAAGCCATTATCAAGGAGATATACAGAGTATTAATGTAGTAGGATGTTTGCTTATCTCAGAGGCTTTGATTTACACTCGTGATAACACTTTACTCAGAGTTCCTCATCTTTAAAGAGAAAGTTCAGAGATGTGTTTCTGTAAAAGTGACGCTCTGATTCTTCTGGTGCCCCAGCATAATTAATTCTCAGTTATTGTAATTTCTTAAGAGAGATCTTACTAAACAAGGCCACAAGATACAAATTAAGGGGAGGAGGAGGGGTGGTGAACATCCTGATGATTCTCTCAGTGCTCTTTCCCTGCAGAGTGCAGATTCTCAGCTGAGTCTGTCAGCAATCTCTCACAGTGATAGCGCTTCCTCAACACAGTCCCTGTCGCATGGAGGGGTGCCAGAGCTGCTCGTGGGGCTGTCATACAACGCCACTACAGGGAGGCTGTCAGTGGAGATGATCAAAGGCAGCCATTTCCGAAACCTTGCAATTAATAGGCCACCTGGTAAGTACTGTCACTGCTATTAAATAGCACCCTTGAGCCAAAATTTGCTTCTTTATTTTCTCCCCCAAGGTACTCAGCTAGAGTGTTCCTGCAAATGTTTCCTTGCAGAGTACCTGATTGAAAATTAAGTATTATTTCAGATTCGTGCGCTGATAGATAGCACAGGGTAATTGGAGGGAATCATCTGAGGGCTCAGCTGATGGGACAATAATACCCAAATGTCTGCTTTATTGCTCATACCTCTACAATAGCTGATTATGGCAAAAGTGCTGCTGTACTCAAAGCACAGAATTCTCAGCAGATCCATTAAAAAAGGCGAGATGCACTTTCCAAGTGTTTAAACGTTACCATGTGACCCACAGAGGCCCTGCCTGGTGCCATTAATGTTTCCCAGGACTACACTTGGTTTAGTCCCCTTGCTGTGCTGCTGACTGCTGGGTGAACTGGTGCTCTGGGCCCTTTGGGGACCCTCCTGCTGTGAATTCTCCACTGCTGCACAAGGAAATCTTCTGCAGAAAGAAGATTTGAAAGTTGTTGCAACAGCTGAGTTCCCTTCCTCGAGTCCTAAAGGAAAAAAAATGGAAATTGCCTAAAGCAGGTTTAGTTGGTGCCTGAGCTGCAGTAAGTCCTTGAGAAGGATGGTGCTGGTAATGTCCATGATAGAGATGGAATCACAGCCAGCAAACCACCTGTTTGCTGCTGGTTGCCTCATTCAGGGGTTGAACAGTAGTGCTTCATTCATCTCCTGCTGTCCTTTGCCTCCTGTCTGAAACCAGCAGCTAATGGCAATGTGAAACAACCTTTTTGTTTGCTTTCTGTGATGTGTGCCTGCTTGTCAAAGTAGGTAAGCCTTTGGCAGTTGCTTGCTCTCTGGATTTGATAGAGTATCTGAAGCTGCAAAACACCGAAATTGCTTTTGCAAGATGCTCTGTGCTCTTTGGTTCAGATCTAGCAAAATATTTATGAAATATTTCAGTACATGCACGTGAAAACTCAGGTTTTCCACTAGACTATACTTAAATAGATTACAGAAATAATCTGTAATCAGTCAGACCCTTGAGAATTAAGGGCAAGTCTGTGCAACAGTAAAACACTTGACCCCAGCCTGTGCAGCCCTCACTGTCTTTTATTAGCTGTGACAGCATACCTCTCTATGTGGGCTACTTAAAGGCATGTTCTTGTTTGTATGTACATACTTAGATTTTAAGTTGGGATCTTTTTTAGTAATTTAAAACAAAGGTAGAGTAAGGCAACCATGCCCCAGTAGGAAACCTCTCCTGTTTCTATGTGCTGCAGAGTAGATACATCCTGAAGTTTTACTCTCAGAAATGAAATTAAAGTAGTTCCAGTATAGGTCCCAATTAATTTTCAAGCATCTGTAATGCCCACCTCTTTTTCCCATAAATGAAATTTCATCCTTTCTGTATCCAGATGATACAGACCAGTGTCAGACCAATGTCTCTCAGTGCTAGATCAACTTTTAGGTGAAACACAGAACTCCATAAATTATTATAGGCAAACTCTGAACCTATCAAAATCTGCTTCTTTTATTCCAAGTCACATTGTTGCTTCTACCTTCTGAATTGTTCTTCTGTGCCTGTAAAGTCCCCAGTAGTGATGAGAAAAAGAAAGCCCAGTGAAGCAGAAACTGAAAGAAATTAAAAAGAAGGAAGGAAACCAGCCTCTGTCTCAGTGCTGGAGTAGCACTTCACTGATAACCCCCCAGGCACTGCAGAGCAGTTTGTTACCGTCTGAAACATGCTGCTGGCTGAACGAGATGCTCAATAAGTCCTTTACAAAGTGAAGCTAAAACTGCTGAGCCCCTTTCTGGAGGATGAGCAAAGAGCCCTTGTGTTTTCTTAAATAGGTTCTATTTGAAATTCTGTTGTTCCAGGCTCAGAGGGAGCGATTTCTTTAAAGTATCATGGAAATTTTGGGTACAATAGCGCTGTGGAACACTTGAACACCGAGCCTAAACTGCTATTCAGGGCAGCCATTTATGGTAAGAGTGAAGGGGCAGAATTCCTCAGCATTCCCAGCCCTGGATACACAGACCCTGAACAGGACCCATATGTGATCCTGTCAGCATTTAGGAATGGCAAAGGAGTTTTGCACAACAGCAAAGTCTCCAGCTGTGCTTTTTGCCCACCTCGACCCTCTTCTCTGCCACCTGTAGACCCACACCATGTGTGCTGCCTTCTTGGCATACATGCACAGGAATTTCACTGTGTGCAGAACAAGGAACTGGACTGGGGTATTGGTGATTTTAGGTGTTAAAGGCTGCAGGGGCTGAAGCAGATGGTTTTATAGAGAAGAAAAGGGAGATGGTGCTGTCTCAGTGTTTCCTGGGCACATTTTCTCCTTCACTTAAACCTTTCAACTGAGTCAGGTAAATGTCAAAGTCATGGTTGCTTACGTGGGTAATAAATGGGTTAGAAAACAGCTGGGCAGCTTACAGAAGCTAAAATCGTGAGGCAGTGTCTTCTCTTCAGGACATATATGTGGGATTTAAGAATAGTTTGGTCAAAGATAAGTGTCCAGGTATTGTTCTGGGGAACATGCTGAGTTACAGGCCTAAGCTTACATTCTCTGATCACACAAATAGATCCATTATCACTCAGAGCACTTAAGAGCACTCAAGAGCATGGCTCCAGCATCAGACCGTAAATTATCTGGGTGTGCCAAAAAGCCTTGTGCAGAAAAGCATCTACAGCTTTGTCAGATGTGGACACTGCTGGTATTTTAGTACTAATGGCTTGTGTGCTGTGCACCTCATTCTCCTTGCTTCTTGTAAATGTAAATGCTCTGTGCTAGCATTTTGTAGGAGTTTGTATTTTGGTCTGTGGTCTTGTATCTTAGAACAAAATGCAATGTGTTCATTTAAAGGGTGTTTATTTAAAAAAAAAAACAAAAACAAAACCAAAAACAAGAGAAGCCTACACCACTGGCAGAAATGTCTTTAAAAATTTATAACCAGTTACATACTATGTGCATGGAAGTAGTACCTTGGGATCACAGTGATGGGCCAGGAATCATTTGAGCTAGTCTGTGCATAAACACAAAGCACAGAAATGTGTCTGCCCATGTGATGCTAAACCTTCATCAGCTGCTCTGCTGGGCACAGCTCTGTCTCCTCTAATCCAGCCTTCCTTCTATTTCCTTCTGCATTTCTTTTGGGGTTTATGTCTGTGTGTAATGCAGTGTAAGAAGAGCTATTGTGAAGTTATTCCCTCGTCTAAGAAAAGTCCTCCAAGCTTTTTGGTAGCTGCAGAATTAATCACACATAATAATTGCATCCGTGCATGATCATTATTATACCAGTAGCATATTAACCCCATTAAACAAATACAATAGCACTAATGCTGGAAAAGACAGGAGGAGAGAGAACAAGCTATCAGGATTTCTATGGGGAACAGGAGAAATTATTGAAGTAAAAACTTGTCTGAAAAGAAACATTTACCTGAGCCACAGGTAACAAATGCCAACAAATACAGAAAATATTCCCATAGGAAAATTATGATCTTTAAATTTGCATCCTATTTGCTCTGGGATCGGAGTGCCTGAAAGCCATTGGTGGATTTTATTTCATCAGCTTATTTTTGAGGGAAGAAAAGTTATTATCCCTGTTACATTCCTGGAGAACAAAGGCACAGGTTAATTCCTTTAATTACTTCAAAGCAGGCCAGGAAGCTGAATAAAATAAATTAACTTTTAACCTGCATATCTTGCTCTGAACAGGGAACTTCCTTGAGCTGCTAAAGCTTTGTGATTCATGTTCCCATGTCATCAGTAATAGAGGAGGAATCTGTGCCAGGGCAAGCTGGGCTGGATCCAGTCTTCCAGACACTGGATAACAGAGCAGTAGATGTGCTGGGAAGCTTCTTGCTGCTGAGTGCTTGCCAGTCAGTGACAGTAAGATTGTAGAAAACCACCTCTCCTTCTGCACATTCTTGCTGCCCATCCATGAATATAGCTGGAATAAGCTGATAATAAGAAGAGCTGAGGAAGCTTTGCTCTGGGTGGGAAAGATGAGGCCAGATGCAAGGAGCCCCAGGAGGATGTCTCAGTAATGAGCAGCTGGGCAGTGAGGTGGAAGAGGAAGTCTGGATGAGTGTAAGATATTGCATGGGGACACAGGTGGAATTCAAACCACCTGTGATCTGGATGGACTCAGAGCCACCTGGGAGTGAAATATTAGGATTATGGTAAATAGCTGCATGAAAATGTCAACTCAAGGGTCACCAATAGTAGTGAAAAAAAACCCCCAAATTTAAGGTGGACAAAATGGAAAATTGGTATTTGATTGTAAATGCGCATTTACTGGTGTAATGGACACCGTTTACAATTCTGTCTTCCTCTGTTCAAACAGAATATGACAGAACTGGAAAGATGTGGTGAGGAGTGTTGGAGACAATCAGGGGAATGGGATCAGCTTCCAGCAAGCTGCAGCTGAATAGACTGTGCCTCCTACGATGCTACAACAAAAGGAGGGTGGGGGAGGATTCACGGAGGTCTCTAAGAGTCATTGAGAAAGTGAATTAACAACAGAAATTTGCTATCTTCTCCTGATACAAAACCAAAGGATGGTAAAAGGAAGCGAGGAGGGAGCAGGTTCTGAGGAGGAGACAGCTTTTCACCTGTGCTGTCAAATTCCTCACTATGGAATGCCATGGATGCTGGAAGCCTGTTCAGTTCTGTGCAGCACAAGAGAAATTCACCAAGTTCCATAGAGGATTGCTAAATACAAAGCCTCTGACTGAGGAAGTCCCTGAATCACACATCACTGGAGATTCCAGAGTATTTGTGAGAGAGCCAGCATATGTCACATTTTCATGAATTTACTGCTGTGTGTGGTACTGGGTGCTGTTGGGTGGATGGGATCCCACAACATGTGGGATCTGGGACTGAGTAGGCTTAGGAGAACAGGTGTCACAGTCAAAACAAGTGAAAAATGGGCTTTCAAGGAGTGCCTCTGAGATTTTTGCAGGGGATATTCCATA